TCATTGCCACCATCACCGTCATCGTCGCCATCGTCATTGTCGTACCATGTGCCAGCCGCAGCAGCAGCAGCAGCAGCGGGAGAAGTACTGATAACGGTATCATTGTCGTCGACAAAACTAGCAGCTAGCAAATGAGTACCATTTAACCCTGCATCGTCATCATTGTCATGATCATGATCAACATCATAATCGTCATGAGGTTGCATCACCACCATCGCCAGAATAAATAAATAAATCATATATATATATATATAAAGTCCTATCTGCAGATGTTCACCATAAACTTGTTTATGGCCATCATGTGTAGTGGCCTCGTCGGTTTCGTGGCCGTGACCAATGTCACCACCACAGCTGCGCAAATACGGCTAGGTTCATGAATCATATAAAAGAACGCTGACATGGATGATGCTAGTTGAAGAGATTCTGACAGTGACAGCGGGTGTGTGAGCGAAGCGAGATGTCAGAGAACGCATCGCGAAACCCGAGAGTCTTGCTCACAGCTTTGCATATGTGCCTTGGCATCCAACGTCGACTCGTCGACCTTTGACAGGGGTTTTGATGAGAGGAGGTCGAAAACCGGGTGCAGTCCCCAAGAAGCAAAAGGCCCTGCAGTGCACAGGCGGGCAGAAGGAGAGACGAAGAGACAGCCAGAGAGACTCACGGACACAAATGTGATGTCGTGTCATGGACCCGAGGCCAGCAATGCGATGTACCCGCTTGAGTCTCTTTGGGTCCACCAGGCCCGGGTTCTTAATAAGAGAAAGTGTCAGCACTTCGTTGTTGAGCGAAGGGTTTGTGGCCCACTGTTTCCCTTGAGGTTTTACGATCAATGCCCAACCTGTGCGAACATGTAGGTAGGTTTGTTCTTCATATCGCTATGCACTCAGACTCAGGCACATGGTCTACCCTTGTACGGTTTTGTTTCGTACTGATGCGCAGTTACATTGGTTCGTTCGGTGCTTACCCGAGAAACCCCGGAGAAGGACGAGTCAGCCAACCCACGTCAGCTTTCTGTTCAGATTGGGATTCCGGCTCTGTGGCTGCATGTGGTGTACAGAGGGGGTCTCGTAACTACTTAAGTTCCTTCTCTTGACGCCGCTTGAATGTCTGCGGGTTCTTTGCCCAGTCTAAGGACATCGAGGTAGGCCTCTGCCGGAACCCTGACAGCCTCCATGTGCGCAGGGTAAACTCCGCTGCCGGCTTGTGGCCTACGCACAGGGTCCATACTTGCAGGCCTGGACGCAAGTTTCCGCTTCTGCTCTCCTGACAGGGTTCAGAAGAGCACGGGATTGAATACCGGGGGCTGTGTGCGTGCTGATGCAGGTTCTTACCGCATGGTGCAATTGGATGTTGTGATAAAGCGCTCGGATCATCCCGAAATGGTTTGTTGGAAGTTCTGTCTGTCCTCCATGTCTTTGCAGGTGCAGTGCAGGAAGGTGATAATGTGATAAGCCCAGCTCTCAAGCAAGAAGACATCCATGCGAATCTCGAAATCAGGCTGCGTGTCTGTGCCACTGTAACATGTGATCAGGTTCGCGTGCGGCCTTCCTGCGAGGCATTTTGAAGAGAGTGCTTCGGGCAAAGGGAGGATTGAAATTTACATTAACCATGTTTCTCATCTTTCTTACACTCGGTTTTGTCAAACTCCGGCGCACGGTTCGGAAAATAGTTCAAGGCTCGTGAACAGTTTCCGAATACGTGGCTTTTGAGCTGCTTGCTTCTACTCAGTATGGAGGCTTCATCGGCTTCGAGGTAGTTCTTTACAGGCCGCTGGTTTTGGCTGCAAAGGCTTGGATACTGTCCTGTTCCGGTGAACCCTTTCCTCACTCACACCGTCGCTTCCGCTTTCGCTTGCAGTCTGTCGTCCCGACGATTGGTCTTCATCTCTTTGTGTACGTTTATGCTTTTACTTTAGCTTCCTAGTAGATCCCTCTGGCTGCGCAGCCGCAGAACGAAGAGGCCTTCGGTGAGAAGGTTGTCATTTTACCTGTACTACCGTACTTGCTGCAGTGGTAAGTAGGTTCTGAATCCCCTGTCGCCTGGCATCAAGCTCGCAGTAGTTTTGTCATTTAAACAGATGTCTCTCGAAACCCCAGGCCATAAACCCTCAATTGTAAGTGTCACCACATATGAAACTGTTGCAGTGTCAGTCGTCAGTCGTAGTCAGGCCGGCAACGTGATTCAGGAGTCGGAGCTGCAGGCAATGCTGCGGCTCGGTCAAGCTTTATGGGTCGGATCACCCAGGCTTCTGAGCATACTGTTTTTGGTCGTGCGGCCTCAGTGGGCATGCCAAGGTCAACAACATGTTGAGATATTTATAATGCTGAAAGGTTCCTGCCCTGCCCAGGCCATGTCTAAATCAAAGCTGAAGCATTTATCAAATGATGAATAACACTTGGAATAATTAGTCAGTGTTCAGGCGAAAAGGGTCCGGAGACAATCTTGCTCAAATCCTGAAAAATGCCAGTAGAGGTTGTGTTTGCTTGTTGTGTTTGTGTTCTTTGTCTTGCGTGTTTGTCTGGGTGCATGTTTGTGCACATATGCGCATATGACCGTACTTATGTCAATAAATGCAGGTGTATATGTATATGTATATATACATATATACATATTCGGCTTAAAAGCCGAAATATATACACACATACGTACAGACATATGTACATACATACATACATAAATACGGGAATACAGGAATACATCTACATCTACGGGTGCGTGTATGTGTACATGCACACTTGCCCGTGCATGTGCATGTACATATACATACACTTATACATCTGTACATACACATACATATACATATACATATATAAATGTATATATATATACAGAGAGAGAGAGAGAGAGAGAGAGAGAGATAGAGAGAGATCGCTACACACACACACACACGCACGCACGCAGGCACGCACGCGCACACCCACACCCACACACACACACACACGTGCCCATTAACACATTCGCACACAACCAACAAACCAAACAAACAAACAACCAGCGAGACAAACACATAAACCAACAGGCGAAGGAACACATGTTTGCACTCAAACATGCATGCAGGCGTGCATATGTATACATACATACAGACATTCATACATACACACACACACACACACATACATCCGTAGATACATCCACATCTGTATATTACAATGATATGTATGTATATCTACATATATACGTACATGTTCATACCCAACATATGCAGATCCACATATGTTTAGGCAGATTCATTCGTGTTGCCGTTGTTTAGTCATTTATGTTGCTCTGCAGTTCGTTTTTGTCGTTATTTGTTTCTGTATTTCTTTGTTAAGGGGTTTGTTTTGTTTTTTGTTGAGGTGTCTATTTTTTGTTTTTTGTGTGCGTTTGTTGCCTTTGTTGTGTGTTTCTTACTTTTGTTCTTTTTGTCTTCCTTTCATCTAGACGTGCATGCCGGCACACATGCATACAGGCATACAGACACGCTACTTGTAGTGGGCACACTGAGACATAATTGCAACTGCAATCGACTGCGCACCAGTAATGTTCGTTCTTTCTGGACGACCTCCTGCTATTTTTCGGCAAGAGACTGCTCAGATCCATGGAATCCTGTTGATACAATGCGTGGGAGTTCCTACGTTGTGAACCAGGAAGTCAGTTTTGTTATGCAAGTGACGCATGCCGCAGTCCGGGGTTGTTTTCATGTATCGAAATTTCAGACCTCCACGCTGAACTCCGACTCCTGACCTCTAACCACACATAGCACCTCTGCTCCACAACCTGCGCCTGGAACCGACTAATTCTCTGGATCTCTCCACCTTTGCATCTTGTGCCTTGCACCATCTTCTAGCCGCAAGCATAAGAGCCCTGGTCACGACTCCAACCCTTGGGGATGAATGGGGCTTCGGGAGACTTCGGGTTTCTCGTTTTAGGTACAGTAAAGCCTCGAGGAACCTCTTTGGGCTCACAGAGAGTCCAATCAGCACTTTGGTGACAGAGGAGACCTGGTTCCACAAGGCCAGGCAGCCACACCCCAAGCCTTGAAGGGGGTTTGACACCGTGGGCACCGAGCTTGTCACAGGATTTACGGTAAAGGCCCTAAGAGGGTCCGCGCCATTTGCCTCTTTGCATACTGGGCGAGACTGCCCCGAACTCCCGATCCTGTATGCCAAGACGTGGAAGTTCTAGGACTGGTGAGTACGACCGCGACAGCCAGATCCCAACTTTGGAGCTACGCCTCTCTCCGAGACCTCTTCATGATCCTCCTGCGAACCGGTCCTGAAGGCCCCAACCAACACTACCCGCTTTGTTCAAAAGTCCCTTGAGAGGGCCTTGCTGTGGAGCTCGATGCGCTAGGCTCCTTGGCCAACTCCTACTACTACTACTACTACTACTACTACTACTACTACTACTGCTACTGCTACTGCTACTACTACTACTACTACTGCTACTACTACTGCTACCTACTACAGCAACTACGACGACGACTACAACTACAACTACTACAACTACTGCTCCTGCTACTGCTATTGCTACTGCTACTCCTACTCCTATAGTCCTAGTCCTACTCCACTTCCACTCCCACCACTACTCCCACTCCGACTCCTACTCCTACCACTCCAGCTCCTGCTCCTGCTGCTGTTGCTGTTGCCGCTCCTGCTCCTGCTCCTTTCCTTCTCCCACCCCAACTCCGACTCCTACTCCTGCCTCTACTCCTCCTGCTACTCCTACTCCTGCTTATACTCCGAATGTTGCGCTCCTGCTCCTGCTCCTACTCCTACTCCTGTTGCTGCTGCTACTACCACTACTACTCTTGCAGCTACTGCTTATCGTACAACGGCTACTACCACTACTACTACGACGACTACTACTGAATTCTACTACTTCTACTACTACTACTACTACTACTACTACTACTACTACTACTACTACTACCACCACCACTACCGCTACTACTCCTACTTCTACTCCCACCGCTACTGCCAATAACTTCCACCACCAAGACGACGACTACTTCTACGACTACGACGACGACTACTACAACAACAACAACAACAACAACTACTACTACTACTACGACTACTACTACTACTACTACTACTACTACTTCTACTGCTGCTACTACTACTACTACTACCAATACTGCTACTACTGCTACTACGTCGCAAATCTGGGCTGGCTGGTTGGTTGCATCGATCTGGCGTAGTGAGTATCCGAGCAATGCCCATAGGCCACTCCTGACTTGGACCTTCCACCTATCCTTGCATTTAGGATGGCTCTCTGGTGGAACCCCAAACGGGTTTGATCGCTATGCAGATATTGAGGCAAGAGGAATGACTTCAAGGAGTTCTGGTTGCGTCAGGCTTGTGGTATAAGGCTCGAGAGTCGGCTTGTGTGAATAGGCTGAACATGATGAAGAACATGTGTATACCAAATTTGCCCGTATCTCTACTTTATACCGTCCTCATAACCTGATATTACTTAGTCCTCTATGAACTTTATGTGCACATGCATTCCTGCACGGCCGTTGGTGCGCAGCTCGACATGCGGGCATCTGCAAGGGCGCATGTTTTAAAAAGCAGCACTCACGATCCCTAGAATCATAGTCACAGCGTTTGCAACAGGCGCCAGAATCATGAACATCAAGGAATGACACTGTCTAACTCTGTCAGTGATTCTAGCACTGGTAATGGGAATAGTACCGTAGAGCCGGTAACGAGCTAGTTGTATTTGCAAGAGTCATAAGCATGTGGAACATTCCTGCACTTGCTTAATACGCCAAAGCTGTTCATGAACATATATTGGTGCTAGAAGTAACAGTATGCACATCGACATCGAAATAGACATAGACGTACCAATACACATCTACATATAAGGCGGGGAGGGGGGAGGAGGGGGACTATTTGATACTAACGGGAAGGGATTATGCATGTATGCATGTATGTATGTATGTATGCATACGCATGTGCACACACACACACGCACGCATCTGAGGCTAAAGTCGAAGCTTAATGGTTGCTCTGATAGTTCGTTAAGACGTGCTCCGCCCAGGCAGGGACGTCCGCGTCGAGCTCCGGCTGCGCAAATTCGCGGCGGTCCTCAGGAGAGATAGAGTATTTGCCTTCTTCTGGTGCGCACGTCTAAACTATTGCTGGCCGCCGGGGCCGTTTCCCATGTTGAACACTCCCATCTGTACCACTTCACATAATTAGAACAGTTGAAATCCGAAAGCATAGAATAGCCTACGCAGACGAGTGACTCTCAACGTTGAAGCACAGACAACGTAGTTTTTCAATTTCAGTGTGTTAGGCCTTTCGAATGCTGCTTTGCGAGGAACATCACATTTGCCTGTGTTGCCAGTACTTAAAGCGTCATTTTGCACGACGTGCAAAACGAACGGACAAACCATTCGCGATGGCGCCAAGCGCTCAGGCCCAGCTTTGTGTCTGGGTTGCAGAACAAGCCTTTTGCTCGACGCTCTGGAAGGCTTCCACAATGCGCGCCATTGTTTCGTATTGGCGACCCTGCTTAGTTATATGGGGTCCTCTGAAACGACTTTGTCTTTGACCTGATTTGTTGGGGCAGATCTGCCTTTTGCTTGCTGATGGTCAGTGTTCATAAAGTTGGTGGATGCGGGCCTGAAAACAAGCAACTCTATAAAAGGGCGGAGGCCCAAACTACTACCCTCGGGTTACAAGACACAAAAGTCTGAACCTTGGAGAGGCCTTGCAAAGCCCAAAAAGCCGGGAACACTTACGCCAGGACAGACCAAGGCCACTTTGACGCCGCCGGCGGCCACGAGAGCCACATCCTGGACCGTAGTAGTAGTCGTAGTAGTAGTCGTAGTTGTAGTAGCAGTAGTAGTAGTAGTAGTAGTCGTAGTCGTAGTCGTAGTCGTAGTCGTAGTAGTAGTAGTAGTTGTTGTAGTAGTAGTAGTAGAAGCAGCAGCAGGAGTAGTAGTAGTAGTAGTCGTCGTCGTCGTCGTCGTAGTCGTAGTCGTAGTCGTAGTAGTAGTAGTAGTAGTAGCAGCAGCAGCAGGAGTAGTAGTAGTCGTAGTAGCAGTAGTAGTCTAGTACTTGTACTAGTACTAGTACTAGTGACAGTAATACAAAAAATCATAGTAATGGCAATAGTAACAGTGGCCGCAAGTCGTCGGGGTCGTTCTCGTACCACGGAGTACGAAGTAGTAGCAGGTAGCAGCACGCAGCCATGTAGCAAGTAGTACTCATTAGCAGCAAGTAGTAGCCAGTGGCAACAAATCGTAGTGGGAAAGTAGGTAGACGCATGTCGAAGCGATAGTCAGTAGATGTCAGTAGCAAGTGACTAGTACTGTGGAGGTCGCACTTGATTAGATCGCATTTATCATGGTGGATGTGCTGTTTTGCCGTTCCGAAACCCCACATGGCAGAATGTCAGATCACCAAACCCTCGACCGGCTCTAACCTTGCTATGTCGAGCGTATGGTTCAGAATGCTGCAGCTTTGGAGATTGCAGCTTGGGATTTCGCATTGCATTTGTTCTCTGTCTGCGGTACTTCTATTCGCATTTCAGGCGGCACTGGTAGCAGAGACTCTTTTCCGAGCATCCCGGCACTATCTGAAGGCCCTGAAAACCCTCAGCCACATTCATTCAAGACTACCCTGCCAACCCGTCCAAACCTAAACCCCGACTTGCAGTTCCCGGATGTATTCCGCTAGCTGTTGCTGCTAACTCTGCAGCCAATCTGAGTCGAAGGACCTGGTTCCTGCTGCACTCCGCACAGCACCGGCCATCAGGCTTTCAAATTGATCTTCCAAAGCGCTCTGAACTGCAAGCAGCCTGATATCCATACAGAAGCACTTTCTGCAACCGTCTTAGAGCCAGCAAGCCCTGCAATTACATCTCTACTATCTACGCCGTGAAGCTTTGTAGCATGAAGACAGACAGTGGGCACGAGAATCAGTCTTGATTCGGGATTGGTACGGCATGCTTGGTCTAATTTCCGAGCTCAGTGTGCAACCGTGAATTTGCAATTTTGTCTTTGTTGATTTTTCCCATGCTCCAGATGCCGTGGAAGCCTTGAGCTCCGTAATCACGTAAATCGGCGGCAGGGGTTTCTGTCCATCGTTTATCTTAGTTTCAGACAATTTAGGGGGTTCCAGGGCCTCCACAGAACTGCGCTCGGCACTGTTGGAATGTTGCACATTGAAAAGAGTTTTGGGGTTGGGGTGTAGGTTTTAGGGTTCCTTCTGGGGGCACTATGTAGCATCTAGGTTTGGGGGTCGAGGTTTAAGGGTTCCTTTGAGGGCTCTTTAAGGGTTCGGGTTCTGAAGAAGCAAGACAGGTTTTGGGGCTTCAAATTCAGGCTTTCAGGATAAGGGTTCAGGATTTCGAAGGCGCCTCCGAAATGAAGCCTCAGGCCTCTTCTCCTGATCCTCTGCGAAACTATGATTGACCATTGGCAGAGAGGACAAAGCAAACCAAGCAACATCCTCCGAACCAAAAATTAAAAGCGCATTATGGATGACACAGGACGGTTAAACACATGCCCAGCACTGAATAAGCCACCGGAAACGCATAAAAGATGGTCCCCAAATCAAGAAAACCAGTGCGACATTAAACGTGGGTTTGGGCAGCAACTTCCATGCGCTGGCGTAAACAAGCCTGACCAGTGGACAACCGATGCTCTTTACTCGGAGTTGACCAACGGCAGAAAGTCGACGGTTTCTGGTCAGGTCGAAATCATCTCCACCACTGCCGTCAGAGGTTGATGTGTCTGTGGCGGGGTTTGATTGAAGCTGAAATCGATATCGGCTGCAACCGTATGCAGCTGTCTTTGTTTCAAGCGTGATGGCTGTGGATGGAATCTCGGCCTCCTGCAGGCGTTTCACAGAGGACTTGTCTCGGAGGGGCGTCCCTCGTTGTGGTCTAACAAGACCCGCATTTCCGCGAAAGCCCAGCAGAATCCGCAACCAGCAAGGCCTGACTTTGCTCGTGCTCCGCAGATATCGATTCAGAACATGCTTTAGCCACTAGGTTTACCCCTGCCATTGCATGAAGCGTACATAACCAAAATCATTTCCAGTTACTTGCGTCCTGCGTGGTTCTTCGAAGCCCCTCCTTGCTCTATAAACTCGTTGTCATGATCAAATCTTCATACTTGGACAATGTGCCTGCAGGCCTGCCGGCAAAGCTTTCAGTTTAGCGAGCTAGCAACTGCCAACTTTTTGAAAAGCATGCTGCGACGCCTAGGAGCGCAAAGTGCTTGAAGGGTGTGATGCCCACACCCTCTTGTACATAGCTTGGATTGCACCCAACAGCGCTCTGCACACCTGCTCTGGACGCGACACGTCATGTAAATCAAGGAATGACTTGCAGTTTAGTCGTGCCTCCCCGTGCACGACCACCGGCAACAGCATTCGACAGCCGAAGAGACGGGACGGTGTATCGCAGCATTGTTTTGCTCATATATTCGGATCCCGTCGCGATTCTGCAAGGTTGGCCACAGCAGGGCACCGACATCTAGTTGGAACTCGCCCCCCTCCTCAACCAGAGCATGCAACGTAGAGAGCCGGTGCAAGTAGATAGTAATGTCAAGAGAAGGTGAGCTGCTAGAGCAGTGGACTTCTCGAATGTGCACCCTCCAAAGTCGAGCCTGCGAGCGCTTCTGCGGTAGTGGCATTTGCTTTTCGTCGTGGCTGCGGGAATTTGTTTCAAACTAAATTGAGGCCTCCAGGAGACTCCAAAGGAGAGTCACGGACTTGTTCACTGCTGCGCTCGTTTCGTGCCCAAGATATGATTTTGGTAGCTGGTGGAAGACGAGGCACATCGCTTTCAGCCTCATCCAATTCAATATGCACCCACCCTGCAAAAACTAGATGTGCTGCTCCTGCGGTCGAGAGGGCACTTTTTCCGTGTGGTTGTGCCAGCAACCGGGTTGACATTTGGAATTGCGTTCCGTCGGTGGAGGTCATAATTAATTCATAACGGTAGCAAAATACACATCCGCTTGACGACTCAGCAGAGCATGCGCTTGAATGAAGCAAAGTGGGTGCTAACGAATGCAGAGGAGCATGGATCAGAGATCAACTTAAGCAGGGATGCGCGTATGCCGGGGATAGGGTGTATGTTTTGGCAGTTTTCCATGATCAACCCAAATTGCACATTTGCGAGTTCAACTCCCCCAGTTTTGAGATTATGATTTGTGTGCGTATTTTACATGCCGGTGGTGTGTTTTTTACATAGCCAATCGGAGGATTCCAAAACCACATAACAAGCAAGCAATTAAGCAAACACCCGTTTGGACAGCGGTTTGAGTTGAATGGATTTGTGTGTATAGGAGTATGGATTTAAGATTGAATACAGGCTGAGTTTATTACAGAATTGGAGGAGCAAAGGTCGCTCGCGGGAATTTGGTCTTCAGTTGTTTTGAGGGGCAAGCTGTAGCTCAACCCGAAGAACTTACCCGCCGTGCTTCCCCGTCGTTCTGCAACGGTGGACAACAACTTCGTGTCCAATGCCACGCTCTTCGCTGGACCAGGTGCCTTCCGCCCTCCCCTTTTGCTCTGCCTGCTCATGACATGAACGAATGTTGGTTATCTTGTGTGTGTGCATGCGACCAGCATTGTTGAAGCTTTGTTGACGGAGCATCGGTTGTTCGACTGCCACAATTTTGGACCAAGCCTGCACATTGTGCATCAAAGCTCTCTGATGACATGATGTCCATGCCTCAGGCAACACATGATGGACGCTTTTTCAGATTCATTCACACAGTTTATAGGAGCTTAACACTCGTAAGTAGCTATTGCATCACTCGCCTTAAGGTTTAAGGACTTTCAGCGTGTGGAAGCGCATGACTGATAATTTCCCGACGTTCTCCTCTACCTAGTATCCTCGCCGTTCCTTCGTAGTTCCACGTCGGCGGCCATGACCTCATCTTTTGAAGGTGTCGGCAGGGTTGCGGACAAAGCCCCGCGGGCCCCCCTGCCGGTGCACTCGACGGGCAACATGGACACGTATCAGCGGACCACGCAGGACGTCAAAGACTCGGCGAACGGGGAGGACAAGTTGTTGCTGGTCGGATACGGAGCCGACATGCTGTACCCGAAGCCTTATGACTGCTTCTTGTCTAAAACCGTCGAATTCAACATGCTGTGCTTCTGCATTGCTGCACGATTAGTGTGTGTGTGTGTGTGTGATTCGTTTCATCAGGCCCGGCGAACACCCCGACACACGCGAATGGACGAACCGGAGTTCTGAAGACTGGACTGGAGAAGAGCGGCTTCAGCGTCTTCGACTGGATGTACATTGACATCGACGTTCGTGCGCTGGGCTTGAAGGACGCAGAACACGACGTTCAGAGTCCCCGCGGTACCATAGTTGCAGTGCAGTCGTTGTTGTTCCGATGTGTTGCATTACAGAGAGAGTGTGGCATGTGGCTTTTGATTGCTTTCTAAGGTTCCCCGGCGCTCAACTACAGAGTTCTCCAGCACCTGTCGGTCGGCCAGGAAGGCATGTGGCACGCGCTGGTCATGATGCTCGCTCTCATTTCCACGCTGCTCGAGTACAAGCCGGACAACGGCATGAAGATCATCCTCTCGCTGTTCTGTGACGAGGTTGAATCAATTGAAGGTGGGAATTCGTTGGTTCACGTTTATTTCGACTACTACTACTACTACTACTACTACTACTACTACTACTACTACTACTACTACTACTACTACTACTACTACTACTACTACTACTACTACTACTACTACTACTACTACTACTACTACTACTACTACTACTACTACTACTACTACTACTACTACTACTACTACTACTACTACTACTACTACTACTACTACTACTACTACTACTAGCTAGTACTACTATTACTTCTGCTAGCACTACTACTACCACTACTACGACTACTACTACTACTACTTCTACTACTACTACTGCTGCTGCTGCTGCTACTACTACTACTACTGCTACTACTACTACTACTACTTACTACTACGAGCTGAGGCAAACGGGGCAAACACCGTGCCGCCGGACTTTCCACCCTTGTGGCACTTGCCTTGGGTCACCCGCTGTTCCTCCCGACGTTCAACTACCCGGACGTTTGGGACATCAAGTGGTGGTCGGTCCACTTGCCACCCGTGGAGAAACGCGAGGAGGACGACCCGTTACCCAACTTCATCTCGACGGCCATCATCATGTCGAAGTACATGTTCAAAAATCCCCGTCGGAGGTCACTCGCTTACTACGCGGCGGCCACGCAGCTCGGCTGGTGTGAGCCGGACGTACCCGAGGCCGCGACAGCCTTCGAGGAAGGCATGCAGGAGGCGGACGACGAGGGCTACCAGAAGGACACAGACTCGGAGATGATCGCGCAGGACCTTGGACGTTGGGCAGAGGTTGTGTCCGACCAGGACACTGTCGATCCCCCGCCGAAGGACTTCATGGACGAACCGGACGAAGACGACGAGCCGCAGGAATGTGTGGACCAGGAGGACGACCCGCCGGCGGAGGAGGAATACGTGGACGTTGAGGTCGATGACGATGACGACGAAGGACAGGCCGACGACGAGGAGCCCGACACCCCCCGGAAGGCCGACTCGATGAAACTGCCGTGCGTTGGCGACGACGGCTTCGTCACGGTGGCCAAAACACGCCGGGGGAGACCGCTGGACCAGGAGGACCCTCCACCTCCCCCGAAGGCGTGCCAGGACGACTACACGGCGGTCGACATGCTCGAGTTCCACTTGTACATGGCCCGCAAAAAAGGAGGGCAAAAAGCGGTGGACGATCTTTGCATGGAGATGGCGAGGGAAAGGGTGTCTTGGCTACTTTACATTGACTGAAATTGGTTTTTTAGTAGTCCTGGTTTGCATGAGAGACTGACTGATTGACCCGAGTCACGCGCTGTTCTTCTCTACAAGCACCCAGCCGTTGCGGCGGCAATCATGAACTACCCGTTCGATCTCGACGACGGTGTTTGGAACGCTGCCTGACTTAATTAAGCAATAAGCTCGTGTTCAGGCACGATCAAGGACTTCATTGCATCCACTGTGTCCCATGAATAAGGCGCTGGTCGGACTTGCTGAGCAATCCCCGTGGGGCCGAATTCTCGCACACGATATCGCCGGACAGATGAATCGTGCTCTGGAATGCAGCCAGACGTACTTTGCTTGCAGAGTTCAGTTGAGTGCAGCACTGTTCTGGACTGAGGTAAAGCCTCGTCGGGCAAATCTGGGGACTTAAGAAACCACTCGGCGTACTTCACGATGAACATCAACGAGAAGTCGATTGCCGCCATGCACCCGCGACGTGCCCAAGCTGAATTCTTGTCATTTGCACATGTCTATGTCACTCTCACATGTCTTCCTTTGCGGTCGGATGTGTTCTGCTCTGAGACGATGACGAAGAGTACATGGTGTTCAAGGCCGCCAAGTCTCGCCGGATCGAGAACACGTACTCGCACATACCCGTGAAGGAGCGGAAGAAGATGGCCGTCTTGAAAACGGAAGACGACGTGCACTCGGAGGACTTGCCTGGCGGCTCGTCGTACCAGTCGATCGTGTCGGACCTCAGGCCGGAGGAGAACTACACGCTGGAGACAGAAGCACGCCGGAAGCGCACGAAGTACCTCCGGGAGCAGGGCTACGACACGCCGGACTCCGGAGTTCTCGCCTTCGACGACGACCACACCTACGACCCGTCGGACTACGAGCCTGCCACGGGCGCCCCGAAGGACCTGTACTCGTACAGTCCACCCGACAGGCCTCCTCCCCGGGTCCGGTCCACGCCGGGCGCCAAGCCACTGGTCGGACACGGCACTGTTCTGGATCCACCCGGTGAAGGCGGTCCACGAGCGCGGGCCCCGCCGAAGCCTCGACCCCAACCTCGACCCGAATGGGCTGCCTATGTGGCAAACACGTCAGCACGTGCAGCTGAGGCAGCACCACCCCTACCACCCCCCCAGGCCCCACCTCTCAAATCCTCGAAGATGCCACCCACTGCACCCGCCGTTTCCAGACCCGCCGCTCCACACCCTGTACCTATCCAACCAATCTCGAAGGCCAAAACGAAGGCGGCCAAGCAAGAGCAGCAGCGCTTGGGCACGCCGACTCACTCGCAGGCCACAACCACGACGGCCGTGAAGTTCTCCTCGGCGGCCTCGTCATCCTCGCAGGACCCCCCCCGCGGGCCGACCGAGAGGGAACTCCTCATGAAGAAACTCGAGATCGAGATGGAGCGCAAGAAACTCGAGGCGGACTACTTGGCCATGCAGCTCTCGCAGGTCCAAGAGCACGACGCAGGACTGCAAGGGGAAGGCATTAATTTAATACAGGGGATTGCTTAGTAGTGCCACGCCGATTTCACGTATGTGGGTTTGGGTTCGGAATTATGTTAAGTTCTTGTGAAGGCATTACTATAGTCCTATTACTAGTACAATTAGTCATTCTTCATCGTAGTTCTAGTACAAGTAAGGCAACAAAAGAAGTACTTTAGTACTTACTAATCGTACTTTAGTAGTTTACTTACCATGTTGGACTTGCACATCCGTAATCTTAATGAGTCATAGTAGTAGTAGTAGTAGTAGTAGTAGTAGTAGTAGTAGTAGTAGTAGTAGCAGTAGTAGTCGTAGTAGTAGTAGTAGTAGTACTAGTACTAGTACTAGTACTAGTACTAGTACTAGTACTAGTACTAGTAGTAGTACTAGTACTAGTACTAGTACTAGTACTAGTGCTATTAGTAGAAGGAGTAGTAGTAGTAGTAGTAGTAGTACTAGTAGTAGTACTAGTAGTAGTACTAGTAGTAGTACAAGTAGTATTATCAGTAGTATATATTAGTATTAGTATTAGTATTAGTATTAGTATTAGTATTAGTATTAGTATTTGTATTAGTTTTAGTATGAGTATGAGTATGAGTATGAGTAGTAGTAGTAGTAGTAGTAGTAGTAGTAGTAGTAGTAGTAGTAGTAGTAGTAGTAGTAGTAGTAGTAGTAGTAGTCGTAGTCGTAGCAGTAGTGCTAGTAGTAGTAGTAGTAGTAGTAGTAGTAGTAGTAGTAGTACTAGTACTAGTAGTAGCAGTAGTGGTCGTAGTAGTCACAGTCATATTGTCTGCTCTAAGGTAATTTCCACCATAATTTGGTTGTCAATATACCACACATACGTGTCGTTTGCTCACTTCCTGCCGCCGTTATTATTACTGCCGGGCAGAACATCATCGGAAGCATCTGTGCATTGGTTCGTGTCCTTGGTCGCATGGCTGCTACAGACAAGCCAGATTGAACATGTAGTCTTGTCATGTGTGTATAATAGGTTCCACCCTCGGAGGGGGTGGCCTGTTCCAGCAGAGGGCACCCATGTCCGTCAGCAGCATTAGATTAGAGAGGTGCCAGGGACGAGGTGGAGGGGACACGGGGGCCGCAGGTGGCAAAACAAAGCATATTATCCTATGTGTTCGATGCCTTTTCGGTGGATCGTGGACCGAGTCTGTTACACGTGTTAGTTAGCTGGATGCACAAGAAATAGCCAGCAGTTCTTGTGTCCACATCATGCACAAGCTTGGTTTCTTTGGTTAGTTTTAATCACTTATTAGAGTTCAGTAGTTACACCTGTGTCCAGCACTTCTTCCTTGGATATGGAGCCCAGCAAAGAAGGGGTGTACGGTCGGAACAATAGCAGGTGTTCACACAGTTCACAGTGCCAGTATGCAGAAACAGTGGCCCTGCATCGTTGGTTCGGTATGCTTTATAATAAGCTAGACATGGTTTCTCAGGTTCGCTTCAAGAATGTTGATTTGTTTTTTGCTCGCCGTTCATTGGGATATGTAGCTTCAACTACTTGCACATGTGACATTGTTTCGAGTGGCTGCTTCTGTTCTGCACAGGACTTCCCGCTAAACCCGCCGGACCAGCCGCAGCTGTGTCTTGATTGCACTCGGTGGCCTCGGTGACATGTTGCATGTATTTCCTGCTTAGTCATTACATGTCCTGATTCCAGGCGAAGACTCCCAGCATCCCGAAGGCCGCCCCGGTGGCAAAGCAGGCACCCGCCTGCATCCGCAAGCCGGCTGCTCCCCCCGGAGGACGGAGTCCCCCGTAGTTCCCGTGCATATCAGACTCGACGGTTCCTCGAAGGACAAACTATTAAATTAATGTTTTAGAAGGCCGCATAGCAGCATCCTGGAATAGAGAAATATCCTGATTCGTCGGTCTGATACACGGTACTCGACTCGCCAACTTCTCGACTCGCCGGACACAGCAGGAAAAAGTGCGGTTCTGCAGTCGTTGCCGCAGAATGCTTTCCTGAGGTAGTAAGTGAGTCGTATCAGCATGCCAGTGTTTGCCAGCGTCAGGTGCTTTGAAGCCACCCTTTCTTCGCAGCTGGGTGCTCAGAGCGGCTCCGATCATGTGTTGCTGGTTGGGTCGTGGTCTCTTATGAAAGATTTATCACGGTTTGGAGTTAGCTGTTTTGCCGCGCCGTTACTGCACAGATAATTCATATTTCTCATATGCCATGCGGCTAGGAAAATGTGGTGTCCATGTCTTCTATGTAAATGTTAAGTCGGATGGCAAAGACTCAGAGGTGGATTTGCGATAATGGAGTTTGCAGTAGTCTACAGGGGGCTTCAGAATCGTTATTCTTCCCTCTCAGGAAAGGTCTGTCTTCATATTTAATTTACGAGCTTTTTGATATTCAAACCATGGACAGTCAAAAAGTGGTTTGGATTGGGTGTCTCAGTCTTTGTGGAGTTTTCACATCAGGCAATAATAATATTATATTAATACTCAGAATTATAAAATATTAAAGAGGAGAAGCCCTCAAGCTTCCTCGCATCAGGTCTTCCATGCGCAATCCTTCGTTGCAAGCTCAGGTCTGTTCATGCTTTTTTTGTTTGGGTTTAAAGTATGGTTCTCTTCAGGGCACAGGGTAAGTACAGTAAGTTCTTGCACTTGTGCAGTGGTATAATGGTACTGGACTCGAGAATGCACATTCCCTGTTTGTTCTCCTGGTACTTATACTTTTCTTTAGCGGTTGCCTTTGGAACCATCTTGTCTTGAGATGCTACTTACAGGTTTCTTCGCTTGTTACTTACATCTTCTGAGATTGGGGACTTCATTTGGGACGTTGTGTTCATCTGGTTTCCCATGCAACACTAAGCAACAGCTGTTGGCACTCGCAGGACATACACAGGACAACACATACACACACCCACACACACACAGAGTCTGTGTTTCAGCTGTCGGGTTTACACAGGGTGTGGGGTTCCTTTGGGACAAGGGTGGTTAGCAGCTGACTGAATGCAGTTTAGAATCATAGTTATACATGTCAGTTTGAAGACTTAGACACAAGGCCTGGGTCGTCAGTACACATTGCAACGGTCGTTCGGAGTTCGATGGTTCTACTCAGCAGCTTGCCTCTTGTAAAGAATGCTGGGTTTTGTAACCAGACTGTTCAAGGTCGGTTCCTAGGACTGTCCAAGCTCCTTTTCTGTGCACTTTGCATTCGAAGTTACTATGATTTAAGCTAGGAAGCTCAAAAGCGGCACCGCAGGACCACCCCGAAGGACTAGGGACAAATCATGCGTCCATGGTTCCCATGTAGTACTAACGTCGGCCTCACAAAGGTGACTCCGCTGGACTTCGAGTGGGCACACGTAGATCACCGTGGGCAGCCTAGCACTTGCCAGTGTGGAGCAGCAGCACAAGTCAGGCAGACTTTCATCTGAAGCATCATGGTCTGTCGTGGTTGGTGATGCTTTAGGTTTTTTAAAGAAGCCTAGACACAGAATCATTGTTATCATGCCGCTGCCAGAAAGCCCAAGCCACCTGCCACTGTCATCATCATTCCTCTCCCTTTCCTCGTTCTTTCTCGTCGGACATGTCGTCCTCCGGTTCCGCTGACCGAGCAGGACTTCCCCATGGACTCCCGTTTTTTCTTTGCCGTTCCACCGACCCGCAGGACGAGGTCATATTCGATTTTCGTGCGATGGACTATTACCTCGCGTCGGTCTGTGGGATGGAAGACCCAAGTACCAGCCTGCAGCGTAATCTCGATTATTGCGAGCAGCT